AAACACACATAAAAGCAGGGCCTGGCTGGAGCCCTCTCGCTTTTGTTTTCTGTGTGCTCTGCCACCTAGTGGTTGCTTTGGATGTTGTGACTTCCAGTGATCCATTTAACTTTTACACCTGCTGTACATTTCTACAACCGCATCATCAGTCTGCTCCCTCAGATACAGTGGCTTTCCGTCTCATGGTTCAACTTTCTTTTTTTTTTTTTTTTGCATAAAAGTATTGTATCAATCTTAATATACTGTGGTCAGGTCAGATGAAGAACATTTATCAGTGTACATGCTGTGGTAACTAATTCACATGGAACTTGTAAATAAAAGACGGTTAAAAAGCATGCAAGGCAGACAATTTGATTTGACCAGTTGTTTAGTGAAAGTTCAGCAAATTATCAATTTACCCTTTTTCTACGCTTTCTCATTTCTGATCTATCTCATGCAGAACATGTAATGTGATCCCAGCTTTGTTTGTGGAACCAGGGGAGACGAATAAGTCTCTGGTTTAAGCCCATCACTGTCTTTCCCTTCCTCTGTCAGTATTATAAGTTCTGTTTACACACAGTGAAGTGCAAACTGTAACCTTCAGGCATCCTGCATTCAAAGCCTTAGTATTTCTTGAATATAAACATATGTTTTGGAACACAAAACATGTCTCAAATGACATAATTTATTATCCCAGATCATTTTTGAACACCCTGCCAGCTGAAAACATTTCTTTATCCTTTAAAATTAGCCGCGAAAAAATCAGTATGGTACTGGGCCCAACTTGTTTTTTTACATTTTATTCCTTTTCCGACACACTTGTATACGTTGCAATATTGTCGCTGCAACAATATATCGCTCTGTATGACTATCCAGTTGTCAGACTCTTTGCCCAGCAGTTTTCTGTCTGTCTGTCTATCCACCTGTCTGTCTGTCGTGTCTTCTTACCTGTCAGGCCCGTTATATGTCAGTTAGTGTGCCTACCTGTCTGTCCTCCAGCACCATTGTGTTCTTATGTTTCTTTGTCTCGTCTTTCTGCTTGTCAGCGCTGTTATTCGTCAGCGTTCCTACAGGTCTGTTGGTCTGTCTGCCTGTCTTCCAACCTGTCTGTCTCTATTTATTTATTTATTGTCTTATCTGTCTCTCTGGTATTCAGTGTTGGTCGGCGGCCCGGCTGCCGAGCTTCACTGTAAAGTGCTCGGCTGATTGGAAGGGACATTTTTCCAATGGCGCTCCGCTGCTTCTAATATTCTGTTTGTCGTTGGGTGTGAGGCTGATTTATCACGCCTCCTCTCCTGCTGACATTCAGATTCACTTTGATTGGCGGTTGGACGGAATGACACCCACCACTACCAACACCGCTAACATCACTGCAGCTCTCACACGTATGCAAACAACACACACACACACAGTGAAATGTTCTGCATACTCAAAGTCAGGTATGCAGTAAATAGGAATATGCCTATTACGCCAACACACTTACATTTAGACATGAAACATGCACTTGCATATATATACTCACTCATAAACTCACACAAACAAACAGACTAAGTGGATAACTGTTGTGCTGACCTCTGTCTTCAGCATTGCTAGTTTGTAAGTGTGGTATTGAGTTTATTGAACAACGTGGGCAGACTGCTGCTCTTCTGTTGTTCTCTCACCTCACGAACTCTATAATATGATAGCCTTTCTCACTTCTAATACTTACTGTACCCGGCCTAAGGCCTAAGCTACCACGCTCCTGTGTTGAATAACATCTCTCTCCTTCTTTTTCTCACTCTCTGTCCCCCCCTTCTCTCCCCCCCCCAATCCCTCCTTAATAACTCTATAACTCACCTCAGCCTTAGATTTAATTGCTTATCTGTGTGTAAACGCATTAACCCTCTGCTGTATCTGTTTTGCCGCCGTCCCGGGGGCCCGACAAGCCTCTCTGACTGCCGTGCCTTACATCCAATGAATAGTCCTTCTCTGAGTGGTAATAGGGAATCAGCATCGTAGCAGCAAGCATTGGCGGCGTGTAAGAGATAAATCAGATTGGGGGTCTTGCTTTGCCAGTTTATTGAATCTAAATTGCGTGCGCGCGTGGCCCCCGCCGGCCCTACACGGCCCATCCATCTCCCGGCTGATAATGGAGCGGGCCCGATTCCACCTGGTGGGAGCATTATTACATTTCCCCTCTAACGAGACCCAGCTAATCCTGCCAAGGCAGGAGGACAGGAGAGAAGAGAGAGGAGGAGAGAAGAGAATAGAAGAGGGGAAGAGAGAGGAGTGAAGGAGGATGTTGGGGGAGGAGGAGAAGAAAGGAGCAGAAAAGAGGTAGAAGAGGAGATTCTGTATGGGAAAAAAAACGAATTGCAAACATACTGGCAGCCTGCCTCTCCCTCCCACTCTCCCTCTTTCTCTCTTTCTCACTTTCTTCCTCTCTGTTGCTGTGCATAAAACATCTTCTAGCGCCATCAGAGCTACATGGCCCCTGGGCCCCTGAGCTGCAATTACACTCATAATCACAATGCGATTTCACTGACGCTCTCCGCCCCTTCCTGCTGCCATCCCTCCTCTTTTCCCTCCGCCCCTGCAGCCAAGACTGAACGAAGTCTAAATGAAGTGAAAGGCCTCTCCTCTCCCCAACACCCGGCCGTTTATTACCCGCTCTAATAAAAGTCCATCACAGAATTATCCTACAATGAACTGGAGCCACTAAGTTGCCAAGAAATATACTTCCAATAAGCGGCCTCTGCACACAGGCATGTCTGTATTTCTAGATGGGTGCAGCTGTGAGGCTTAAATCTTTTTACATGCTTTTTACAACTATAATGTTAACAGGCTTTTCATGATAGTGCAGCAAAGTGTGTTGCTCTAATGTATTTTTTTGTAGTTTATCTTTTTTTTTTAAGCAGAGCTTCTTATTGATGTAATTAAATCGTATCCCTGGCTCAGCGCTCAGGCCTACTTTCATTGTTTTGAGGGGGCAGGAGCCCCGTGAGGCAGTGCACTGATGAGAGATGGATAAACAGTTTGATTTGCTGCTATCGCCCCCAGGCACAGTGTACTGGAGAGATGAGCAAGAGAAGGAAGAGAAAGCATAAAAACGGGGAGGGGTGGGAGAGGGCAAAACAGAAGGAGAGAAGAGAGAGCGAGAGGATAAGAGAACCTGTTGGGGGAGGGATGAAGGGATAGAGGTGGAGGATAAACATGCAAACAAAAAGAGGCGACAAATCACTCCTATTGTTTGTGTGCACATGTTTGTGTGCACGCAGGCAAAGCTTTTTCTCTTATTTCTGCTTGTTTGTCTGTTTTCCTCACTGTCAGTTCTTCCTTTTTTCCTACATGGCCCCCATCTATCTGCCTTTCCCTCCTCTTTCTCCCCCGTCTCTCTCCCGCTCCATCACACCACCAGTACTGCTCTGTTTCCTACCTGCCTCTCGGTAGCCCCAAGCAATAAGGGAGCTGAAGAACACAGAGTTCATGAGCACAAAAAAACACACACAAATACACGTCTGTGCATACAAGAAAACTCATGAATGTACTTGTGAGCACATGCAAGATGGTGCAGCCCATGGACTGGTTTTTGGCACACATAAACTTACTAAATTATGACTGTTAGCTAGGAGAAATAGATTGATTGCTGTTGATTTGGTTAGAGATGCTCCCATACACATGCACATACACACACACACACACACACACCCTAGCTGAGGGAGGTAGAGGAGGGTTCAGTCATCCATGTAGAGTCATTGTTAGTAAAGATGCGGAACCTCCGGACTTAACCAGCCATAACAGCAGTGTGACGGGTTCTTTGTCTACGCCAATTACTGAACAAAAACAACAGCGCAGTCACAGAGAGACTAGCGCAACCCATGGCCTCCTGCATCCAAACACACACACACACACACACACACACAGACGTGTAAGTGTTGTATTTTTATGTAACGTATTTGCTTGCAGCGCAAAGTCTAACACACAATCAGACACACACGTGCACGCCCAGGCATCTCAAGTGGTGCAATAAACCACATTGGGACACCCACAGCTGTGCCCTAACACAAACATTCTGTAAGCGCTCACAAACACTTACACCCACTCTTATGTTGTGCAAACTTCCCCAAAAAGAGCTCTCATTCTCTTCCTCCCCCTTCCTCTTCTGTTTCTCTCCCGTCCTCGTTTTTTTTCTCTCAAAGTTTAAACTCATTAAGTGTAATGATATTGGAGACTCAATTTTACATAGCTCACTCATCAACCAAGTGAGATAGCAATAAAGGCAAATGGCTCCGCTGAGGCCCTAACGCAGCAAAATAAATGATGCGCCGCAACGGAAATGTAATTAATTTAGAGGCAGTATTGATAGTCCTGCCATACATGGCATTATATTTTTTAATGTGGCTTAACATCTTGATTATTCAGGGGGAAAGGCGGAGGAAAAGGGAGCCGAGACAACACGGCTCACGATGAGAGATGCTTAAAATGCCCTGACGAGTGTTTACTCCCGCTGTCTCACTTTCTCTTAAGCTTTTCATTATGCCGAGACGATAAACACCTCTCAGGAAGACGCGCTGACTTTTACACGGGTGTGAAGGAAAAGCAGAGAAGGGTGCTGCCTGGTAGGGAAAGGAGGAGAAGGCACGATTGATATTTTTGTTGATTTCTGCGCTTACTGTTGATCCAATGATGTGTTCTCTGGTAATTTTCTGCATACTCTGTGATTAGGATCAATTTGTTTCAAAACAGTATCTTCCACAGAAATAACCTTGTGCCTTGTCCATACAAATATATGTATTTTAGTTTCATCATCATTAAAATTAAATCATTTAAATAAAACAACGGGGGGATTTACTTTTTTTTTTTCATTTTATCTTCAGTACAAATACATAATCATGTATCTTAATATCATTTTAAAACAATAATTTATTCCTTGATACCTCAATCTTTAAAAGAAAAAAAAAATCTGTAATATAACTAGTCTGAGTGGTTCCTCCTGAAGTTCTGCTTTGCTCCTAACCACTGTCTCCTGTCTCTCTTTTCAGCTAAGACGGACGAGGTGCTGAAGGCTAAAGTAGCCAAGAGAGAGGAGGAGGCCCGGAAGAAACTAGAGGAAGGTGAGTTATATATGTGTATGTATGTCTGTCACAGATCCAACATGTGGGCTTCGGCACCAATATCAAACCGGCTCTAAATGGACAACACAGTCACAAAGGACAACAAAAAGCCATAAAATGTAACAAAAATTAAAAAAAAAAAAAGTTTACTGTCTTAAATCAGCTGGAGCATTTTTATCTGATTAAAAAAAACAAAAGGCAAACTTGTCATGTATGTATGCATGTTAGTTTTTATAAAGCTCCCATAACATGAATATGAGCCAACAAGTGCAAGAATACAAAATAATCTTCACTTCCCCTCTGTTTCTCATGTCAGGTATTGCAGTATTTTTGTAGCCCCTCAACTCTCAACATTAGTTATTTTACACACTTAAACACATCTAATCTTTTAACATTTACATATTAATGTAAGCGCCCTGGACTTGTAAAGGAGGATACTTCCCTGACAATTCATCTGTGCTTTGCAAAACATGAACATGGAGATACAAGGTTATTATAGTTATTCAAAATGCTGATTGCACCCCTTAGTTTTTATTAAGACGGCTGTAATCTACATAAAGATGCATAGTAGATGTTCAACTCAGAAATGTGCTTAGCATTGCAGGCAGTAAATTTATCCTGCCAACCTGAAATCCCCCACTACCACCAACATAGGACACGCACACATACATACATACACACATACACACAAAGATTATCTCGATACACACTCAAATAAAGTCAAGTGTAATTTGCAGTGGATATGCTAACAGTAATAAAGGTCCTTAGATAGAATAATGACCCTGGTCCCTGTTCTGACCAGAGCACAGTATAAATGAGAATATCAAATGTGCTGTTATCAATTGCACTGTGTGTGTGTGTGTGTGTGTGTGTGTGTGTGTGTGTGTGTGTGTGTGTGTGTGTGTGTGTGTGTGTGTGTGTGTGTGTGTGTGTGTGTGTCTGTGTGTCTGTGTGTGTGTGTCTGTGTGTGTGTGTGTGTGTGGTAGCATAATTTGTTCTAGTGTGGGTGTTTTTATATTGCTGGATTCTCTCTTTGTGTAATTTTTTGTGTTTGCATTGAGCAGGCATGGCAGTGTGACCTTTAAAGTTAGCTGACCTTTTAGCCAAATGAAAGCCCAGCCATCAGAAACTAATTAGCCCTGCACTCATGCTTTGGTCCCCCAGTTCTGGGAAGAATCTATTCTCTCCTTTTCTCTATTGCACCCTGTTTTATTTTATTTTATTTTTTTCCTTACCACTCTCACATTCATATTATTCTTTTTTTCCTCAGTCTTAGTGCTCTGTCTCTTCCTCCGTTTCCTTTCTGTTTTCTCCTCCTACTTTTTGTCTCACACACTTTCTTTTTCTTCCCACCTCCATTTGTCCTCATCAACCATTTCCACCTTTCCCCTGCCCTCTTCTCTGTGTCTTTCTTACTCTTTTGCTTCTCTCTTTTCTGTGTGGAAGCATTGCCAAAGTGGTGACTAAGTGCCTTGCTTGAGGCAACAGAGCAAGGCTTCCAGTCAAATAGCTTTCTTAAGCTAAGTTCACACTGCACTGTTGCCTCTTTCTCCCCTTTGCTCAGAGCTCGCTCATCCTTCACTCCAACTGTTCGTTCTGTGTGAAATAAGGTGTTGTACTTGACTGTGTAGCGGAGCGGTGCAGTGCAGCTTGCTGTGCAGGTGCTGGCTTCGAGGACGATTATTTCATTCCTTCCCCTGCACGGGGACACATGGAGTGAGATCAGAGAGGCTTGACAAAGTGACTCGCCCCTTGCCTTGGTAGCGAGAGAAACCAGTCGTCCTGTCACAAACACACATGAACACACATCCACACACAAGCAAAGTCAGCCAGCTCCATCCTTTTTTGCCCTTCCTCCTAGCACAACTAAAATGGAGGAGGTGGGCCACTGCTGCTGCTAAACAGCAGATCACCAAGGGTCTCCTTATTCCCCGTAGGGCCTCTTAGAGGTCAACACAACTAGAAAGTTTACACTTGAACCGTTAAGTCAACTGAAATGAGAAAACCTTTAAAGAGAATGGAGGGGAGAAGTGAAGAACACTACCACCTACACTCCTTGTTCATAAATAGATTCACATCCTAGACTGGCAATGTGTTTGAGTTAGTTTAGCCCTAATCGAAACCACCGAGATCTGATTCATGTGAATGCTATGATATGCAAGCTATTATTGTAGCGAACTGTGGCTGTATACTGCGGAGCCCTGCGAGAAAAGAGGGGTTTTTATCAGCAACTGAGAGAGAGAGAAAGGAGAGGATCAATAACTGACCCTGTGGTCATCAGTTAACAAAGTAGTGTTCACTTAAAAGGAGTGTTTGGCTCTCTGGTTAAGGGCAGCCAGATGATGCTAGTGGTTGAAAAAGGAAACATGTGATATGAAAGGGTGTGAGAATGAGAGGGGAGGATGATTCCTTTGTTAGTTGCATGCCTTGTTTAGGCTATTAAAGCTGAGAGATGTTGTTTGTGTGCCCAGGAGGCTTTTAGCTAACATAGTGTGTCCAACTTTAATAAGCTGGACCAACTGCCAGTGTAACACAGACGGTTTGTGTGGACTGTGCTGTTGGCTGGCACTTAACTAAATAACCAGAGCGACTGTGTGGTAGTACTGTACTGTATTCAGGGCTGGACAATAAACCAAATATATCAAATTATGAATCTCTTGCTGACCTAAACTTACTCATCCTTTCCCTTTCGTGTGGACATTATTAAAGCTACGTGTGCATCAAGAGCACCAACACTCATGTACCAACCAATCAGCGCAGTATGTTTGACTGGTCATGCTGTAATTAAATAGGACAAAAATATAAGAAGTGGGCCAACATGAGAAAGAAAATATATAAAGCTGTAACTTCCATTATTGATCAATCTGCAAAGTATTTTGGCATATCTATAAAATAGTGAAAAAACGGTCATTAGTTTTTTCCAGAACCCATCTTTATTTATATATTCTTTGTTTTGGCCAACCAAAACAATCTAAAACCTTAATATATTCAAACCATTAAAGAAGCTGTTGAAACTGAATCTTTTTATTGAAAAAGACTGAAATTTATAATGCAAATAGTTGCTTAATAATTATCTGTTGATCCACTCATTAGTTAATCATCTAACTGCTTCAAAGAAAGTTTATTTATTTATCATTATTAAAGTAAATCTGATCATTTAATGTAATATAGATTTTAGATCATATTGTTCAGCCTAGTATTGTTTCTTATTGTTTTTTTGCTGTCAATACAGCATAAACTATTCATTTTATATGTTCCAATCCAACTGGGAAGTTTGATGTCAAGAAAATAAGAGATGGAATTGAAAAGAGGAAAGTCTAAAGTGTCTCCATTATTCCCTCCTCACTAAAATTTTACCAATAAGTGAGTCAGGATTCAGTGTTTGGGTGTGTGTTTGTTTAAGTTTGTCATCAGTCTGAGCCCCATTAGACTTTGTGTTAACTCCTCTAGCTTTTCTTTATATATTTATTAACCATCAGATTTAAAGAGAAAGGTAACACATCAACCAGTTGGTATGAAAATTGGTGTCAAATGCTTGATAACCCCAATTCATTCCCACACACTCACATGCTGCTTCAAAGGGCCCTAAACACACACCCTGAACACTGTCGCTCAGTGAAGTTTTGGGTACTGTGTGTCGTTCATGAGGCACTGATGGAAACAGATTTTCATTTGTGCAGCCACTCTCCGACATACAGAATTATGTAGATATGGATTGGACACTAGCCTATAGCCTGCGGATGGTATTTTAGCCCTTATGCTGCTCTGTCCCCATTACCTCAAAACCACCACCAGATTGGGAGATCATATATTTTAATGAGACGTATAATAGCTCTTTAACCCATATCATTAGGGGAATATATACCTACGGTTTGCTCTTTTGGCAGTTAAACGAAAGGACTGTTTCCCTAATTACGCGGTGTGTAGGACAGGTCACGGGTTGGGTGTGTACCTGTCTGTGTGTGTCTGTGTTCAGGAATTATATGACCATTAAATATTCAGCCGCAGGCCCCCATCCAGCCCCCACTTCCTCGACCTAGCATCCATTAACGCCTCATCACCGTTTAACTAGCTCTGTTGTCAATCACCACAGGGCCTCGACTGAAAGAGAAAATGTCTGGATTTGGTTTCTTCCCTTACTTGTCCAACATATAGAAATAAGAGTGAATACACATCTGTAACAACTGTAGGGCGCCTCAGTCAAAGACAATCAATGTAAGAGAAATATCATTAAGGGCGCATGTGCCCGTTCCATCATTTGTTTGAAATAATATTTCTCTTGTTAGGTGTGATTACGTGCTCTGCTAAACAATTTGTCAGTCAGCTAAAATTTCCGCTCTGCATGCAATAGCGGTGTGGGTGTGTGCGTCCATAATAAATGATGTGATCCCTTTTCTAATTGAAAATAATAACTAATCCACGGATAACAAGCTCTTGTATAATCCAAAGCCATATCCCTTCAGTTCTGGCCTATCTCGGCTGTAATAAAAGACAGGAAATGAGAGGCAAGTGAGAGTGGTGGCTTGGACATTGACGCTTAATGTAATCTGCCTTGAAATCAAATTATTTGACCTGGAAAGCCTAACAATACAAAACTCCTGCCGGGCTGCTGTTAAATATTTAGCACGTGCCTGTCATGAATACAAATGGTGCGCAAATTAGAATCTACAGGCGCGTGACCCCCATATCACACCCCGGGAGCACAGGGGGGCTGGCTCTGCTTTAAATGTTTTAATTACCGGGGCCATGGTGTGGCTTGCCACGCTACCTCGCCGAGCAGCATCGGCGCTGCTCAGACTGCCACTTGAAGGACAAGCGGTGAAATTCATCCGCTGGTAAACACGAGTGATCTGGTGTCCATGATCTCATCACATTAACTAAAACATGAGGATTCAATAAGGAGAGTGTCTGAATTATACCAAGCTATAATTATAGTTCCCAGCATCCTCTCTCAGGCTTAGAGCATTATACTTTTTTTTAAGCGGTGTTCTCTCCACTGG